GACAAGGATACCATGACAAGGATACCAAGACAGGGATACCAAGACAAGGATGCCATGACAAGGATATCAAGACACGGATACCAAGACAAGGATACCAAGACAAGGATACAAGGATACCAAGACAAGGATACCAAGACAAGGATACCATGACAAGGATGCCATGACAAGGATACCATGACAAGGATGCCATGACAAGGATACCAAGACAAGGATACCAAGACAAGGATACCAAGACAAGGATGCCAAGACAAGGATACCAAGACAAGGATACCAAGACAAGGATACCATGACAAGGATGCCATGACAACGATACCATGACAAGGATACCATGACAAGGATACCAAGACAAGGATACCAAGACAAGGATACCAAGACAAGGATGCCAAGACAAGGATGCCATGACAAGGATACCACTTCTTGGCTTGCCACAGAGACCGTTCGGGTGCAAACGGAGCACAGTCAACACCCCTGCAGATACGTACGCTGAAAGTTTGCTGACTGATGAGTGGATGGTGCGAAGAAGGGCGACCCGAGATAATGTCGATTTGGAATTCGGTACCCAGCAACTGTGCGGGCCGTCTTAAGTCCGCATCCAGGGGATAACGCCCCTCGTGTGTGCATCGAAATGTCGAGATGTGTTGCTATTAGCTGCTTCCAAGACGATCAGCTACACGTCTCCTAGTGGCACAATATCAATTTTAAAAGAAAACCCATTACTGTTTTCAAACGGATGCAGACTACAGATCATACGTGTTCCCACCTGCTCACCACCTCGTGTTGAGAGCAAGCCAGGTATTTCCGACGCGCGGACCGCCGATCGGTAGAGTTCTCGCCATCAACGTTTCCTCGAGTAGGCACGTGAAAGTGCGACATGTTGTTGTTGTTTGGTCGTTCCCCACACAAGCCTCTCGAGTCGGAAAAACCGTGGGTGCTCGTGGTCAACATGCAGTCAAGGCACGCTCAACGCCTCTAGTCTATGGTACAGACATGCTCGCCTGACACGCGAGAATACTTGGAGCGATCTACGGCTCTTCGCCGCAACATCAACGTAATATTCAAATAGGACACTTCTGCAGTCAAAGAAAGAAGGAACCAGCTACCGCACCCGGCCAAATAGAGCGAAAGACGCGAAGCCTCTCA